AATCATAACGGTGGTGGAGTAGATGTTGCTGTGGGGAGTCGAAAACCCTGACTCCGCGCAAAGGGGATGATCGCACCACGTTGTGTTAACACGGGCAAGCACCCTCGAGGTAGTTACACAAAAAATGCTTGTAAGTGTCGCCAGAAGCCCAAGAAGAAAATAAAATAAGTCACTCGCAGCTTTCATCCGTACGCGAGGAAGTCAGCGCAAGACGCCGAAAACCCTCAGCAGGATGCAGCGCACCCTCCATGCGACTCGCCGAATTACCATACGGTGCTTCGCGCTTGGTGATGTGAGAGGCTGGTCCGGTGAGAACCCGACGTGCTCCGTACCGACTTTGTGGGAATGCGAGGTCAACGGTCTAACGACTACGACATGCACGACTATGAGTACACCCCCCGCACCCCCCCGAGAGTCGCCACGGCGCAAATCGAGATTACTCACGATCATATTTGCTGTGAATTGTTGCGCATGTCTACAGCCGCATTGATCTTCTCAAGGTTGTTCCGTTTTGGAAACGTGTGCGTAGCCTAGGGGTGTATGATTGACTCGTGCACACGCGTACGCTACTCTCTCTTTCAGTTGTATCACGCAACACGTGGAGAAATGTCGTTCCTTTATCGTATTCGCAGCGCTCAGTTTGCAACATCCGCGCTACCCGAATTGGTCTACAAAATCACTCGAGTGTTCTGCTCAAGAAATGGCTGAAAATCTCGAGGTTAATGCTGCCGTTGCTGTGTGAGACATCGATTCTTCGCTTGGAAGACGGTTCCGCGATCGTCTTTGAGCTGGGCACAGTATGGCGCACTGTCGGCCTGAACGGCAAGTTACAGGATCTTTGGTCCTCGTCTCACACGAACATGACGAAAGGTACAAAGTTCAGTTCCGTTGGTCCGGTGGCCGGTGTCTTCTCCCTCTCGCCCAGGTGGACTGCATCACCGTGAGCATGTTTCCGCTCAAGGCCTGCATCGAGGACCAGCTGCAGCGCCTGGCGGATGCCCTCACGGTTTCTCTTAGGAACGCGGTACTTTCGAACTTCAAGGCTGTCGATGCGTTCCTGGAAGACTCGATGGAAAAGCTCAGCAGGCGGCCCCGCACCATCAACGACATCGGCGAGGTGACGGCATGCCTGGCCTTTCTTTCGCCTGTTGATGTTTGCTTTCTCCTGCTCGCTCACAGCAGAGTATCTAACGCATGGTCCTGGATAGACGTTGGCCGGTGTGCTCGTGTGTACTCAGGATGGATCGTTTCGAAAATCTGCATTTTTGTTATCCTCCATTTGAATTTATTCTTGTTGGAACTGCGCGATGTTCGCGATTTTCGCCCAGGCGAAACGTGACTGGAAGGAGATGGAGTCCAAGAAGGACGAGATTCGACGGCTCTCGACCAAGTGCGTGGGTCTCAAGGCTCTCCTGCTTCAGCACGCACCCGGAAACCAGGTCAGTTGGTGTGCACCAAACATGATTTTTTCCCGTCGTGCCCACGGCATATTTTCGGTACAAGGCCATCTCTCAAGTCACTAGAGAGCAAAGGCCTCCTAGAAAGCGAGGCTTGGGAGGGAACGTGTTGGATGTATCCGGCATTGACGCCAACGCTGTTTGGAGTCCCCAAAGGTGTGCTTTATACCACCAAACTCATTTACAGTTTTTTTGGAAGATTGGTGTATTCAACCGTGGGCTGTTGCTTAACACTCGTTACCCCGAAGGTGGACGCATCAGAGGCGATTTCTAAGATGGCCGGCTTAGACGGGGAGGGGGGAAGGTGGGACGAGTTCGATATCGCCGCGGAGGCTTTCCAGGAGATGGTAGAAGAGCAGAAGGAGAGCCTGAAGGGAGTTCTCGAGGAGGAAGTCATGCAGTTAAATCAGGTGGGGCGTTAAAGTACCCCGAGAATGGTACGGGGGCTACGTAAACAGGATAGTGCGCACAACATGCTTCACCTAAAAAGGAGTTTAACATGAGTACACAAGTTCTTGAAGACACGCGTTGACATCGTTTCACGCCACTGGTATATTTTATGTACATGGGTAGGCGCGACGTCAGCCAAACCACTTCACCAGACAATCTATTCGAGGTGCTTGATCGTAGCATGAAGTATGCAAAAAACGGGCATTAATACTTTTCTCGAGGGTGCATTCCCCTAACACACACATTAAGAGTCAAAGTCGCGTACGCGACGACAATATGCGTTCTGTTTCTACTCACAACAGACAATCGACAAGTTTGGTGCGAGGTGGCGGGCGCTGAAGCCCCAGGAGATGAAAGATTGGTCTACGGCTGAGGTGGAGCGAGTCTTCACTGCGCTTGGCGACTGGCGTGAGCAGTTCCAGGAGCACCAGAGCAAGGTGTGCGCGCGAAAAGAACTGAGGTCAAGGGTATGGAATCGAGTGATGGCCCGATTGGAATTTTGTCACTTTCACCGAACCATTGTAGACGGCGGGGGGGAGACGAAATACACTGATTAATCCTTCTGAAGCTTGTTCCGTCTTCACAGAAAGAGTTCCGTGAGGAGGGTAAAGGGGATGAGGGTTCACTGGCAGTCACCCCTGCAGAGAATATTGATGTTCATGTCATGGTCCGACCAGCTTTCGGGTAATAAATCTACATAGGGTGTTAGGTTAGGTTTTGAGATACAAGAGATGAGGCGTATTCCCCTCGTAGATGAACGAGCTCACATCATGTATCAAAATAGTCAGCTGTGGATAAATGCTAACGGCAGCGCACGCGTTACGGGTGAAACGTCTACAACTAGGATATGTATGCTACAAAGCATGACCTTCCATCGGAAATACCGTCTTTTGACACAAGCGTAAATTGATCGCTGTCCACACGCCTGCGCCAGGCGGAAACACTCAAGGAAAACTGCGTGTCGTTCGGAATGCCGGCGCCACGACTGGAAAGCGTGGACGCCATCGAGGAAGACTTAGCGGCCACTGAGTCTAGCTGGGCCCTCTACAAAGAGTACAGCTCCGAGCTGAAGGTGTGCGTGCCCTGCTGGGAACCTGCTGGGATCGTGACCAAATGAGATAATGCTGCAGAACTGAGCCTGATACTTCAACCGTTGCTACAGAACGACCCAAGCCCCTCGGCAACCGTTCTTCTTGGTGCAAAGGGGGCGATGTTCGCAGAACCGATCCCAAGTTCTGGTATGCAAACAGTCATTGGGCGACACACCCACCATGTGTATCCACCATTCCGATTTTTGCTTGCTTGCGTCTACAGGCCCTGGCGGATCAAGACTGGATCAGCTTCCGACCGAATGTCTTCGCGCTGCAAGACCTCGCCACCAAGTGGATCGAGGTCATCAAGGCCCGTCTTGCCGAGGCGCAGCGAGCGGACACGGTTACCGAGCACATCCATCAGGCAGGTTGCCATAGCGCAACTCACTCCGCGTTTTTCATCACTCGCTGGATGCGCGTGGTTTGACGCAACGTCCGTGGAAATGATTCGATTCACCGTTATGGGTCCGACCTATCTCTCCTCACTTGTCCAACGTACTTCCGGTCTTGACCAGAGTGCTGCTAGCCTCTTGAAAGGCGTTGGGTTGAGCGTCCTCGAGAAAATTTACTATTGTCTTCTTCATAGCTTTGGTTGGCCTGAAAAGCGCACTGCTTGCGTTGCCCTATGCGAATTTGGGTCAAATGTGTATCTTGGACCAGACATTGCAGTCTCACAGGCTCACTGAAGAACACAGTACTTTGGCCACAAGCTTGTGACATAGATGCCATCTCCTTGTTACGGACGTGTCAAGCTCAAGAAAGTGACTGATACATAGTACGCTTTGCAATGCTAGAATACATGAAAAGGCACCTCTCACGGAAAACGTAAGGCGAAATCGAGTGACTTCTCGTTCTGCTTGACGGCGCTGTGCTCGCCCGCCGATCCTTTCTATCCATGAAGGAGCTGGAGCGAATGAGAAAGGCGACACCCACGCTCAAATACTGCCGAGGCGAGCCCTTCAAGGAGGAGCATTGGAGCGCACTCCTGCAGGTGCCGTGAAATTCCGGTTCTAAGTTTCAAGGGCCGCGGAGGGTAGCTCGCTCCTTGTAGGCTATTGGCGTGGCGCCCTGGTTGATGGTGGATAAACTATTTTTTTTTGGAGTTGGAGAAGGCAAACACAGGCATCACCTGTATACGGGAAGCCATAAACTTTAAATGTCTCAGGCACGCTCTTCCGCGTACGAAGGAGGGTTGGAGCGCACTATATCGCGCTGCCATCACGTGCCTCCCCTCCGTTGCAAGCGTTTTGAGCTCCATAACAACAACATTGGACACCACCATCCAACATCTGGCATGCCAGCAATATATGGGCTTCAAGAACGCGTGCGTGTCCTGACGATTTCGGTCTGGTGCGCTTTTCGGGGTTCGTTGCCCGAGTTTGATGGACGGTACCCTTGATGCCCGTAATAGTGTACTCCTACCTGCAAAATCGAGAACAACGTAGATTTTTCGCCGAAAATCAGTTTGAGATTGAGCGTTTGAGTAAGGCCGTAGGTTTAGTCTTTGGAGACAATCGTTCAAACGAAACAAGACCCCGAACGGACGTGTGAATACCCGGCAGCCAGCAGTTGAGGCCTACTGGTGGTTATTGTTTCTTGAAACGTCGGTTGTGGATCGCACAGGTTGTCGACCGCGTCCGGCAGCAGGCCTTTTCCGTACACCATGGGTTCTAGAACCCCCTCCTAGCTAGAAAGAAATGTTAAAGTTACACTATGCGTTCGGAAACATGCTGTGTATCCTTCATTCTCGCCCGCCAACAACCAATGCGGTTTGTCTCCCGTAGGGAAAGCTTGGCCTAGACCGCAGCGTGCGTCTGGAGAACCTCATGGTCAGCCACTTTTTATCGGCGATGGACCGCTTGGCGGACCCGGCTCTGCTACAGTTCGTCAAGCATCTGCAGTCAAGGGCACAGGGAGAGGTGGGCACAGCAGTTATCGCTCCGCTCTGGTCGAACAAGGTCATCGACGATATTGCTGGGAAGTCATGCACCACGTGGATAGAACACTGCTAACAGCGTTGGGATTTCTAATGATTAGAAGTCGGGCTTGCGAGGGCGGTGAGAACAACATCAATTGCATGCAATGTAGCGCGCGGCCGGGTGTTTCTGTTGGTGTCGCACTTCGTCACGCCCATTGTGATTGACGGTCCGGGGAAGTGTAGGTCATTTCAGCGGGATATTAACAATGCGAACCCCCTCTTTTGAAATTACTTTCGCAACACGAAGGTCACCATCCGTGAGGCTCTCCAAGAGCTGGTGGCATGGTCCCAGACCGCCGAGCTCAAGCTGGTCGATCACGAGGAGAACGGAAGGAGGACCCCGCTCATCCGCGACTGGGGCGACGTCTTTCTCGAGCTGGGCGACAAGCAGAGTCTGTTGGCGTCCCTGAAAGAGAGCCAGTTCTTCAAGGCCTTCGAAGACCAGGGAATCGCGTACGAGGTGCGCGTATCCGCGATCATGGTACCGAACGCGCTCTAGCTTGTTCACGACACCACCACGAATGCCAGAAATTAGAGCTACCGATACCCTATAAAAAATAGATATTCCTTGCTGGGTTGTGGGAAGGGCTCCAATCAACCTTTCGAGGGCCCCCTTATAATAGATACTTCGAAAGCGAGTGACAATGTTTCGAAAGCCTCGCAGGCGGGGGGAAGTCATGAGGCGAAACGAATATGGAAGCACTTCGCGTGTGTCAATGAACCTTGGTCAAGGTGCACAGGTTGACATATACACAGGAAGCCGCTTCTTTTTCTAGTCCGCCAAAAGCTTTTTTCGTGGTGGCCGCACGCACTTTTTTATTCCGCATTGCTGTCCGTTCCGCAGGTAAAGCTTGGCGTGTTGGACTACGCCCTGCACACCCTAAACCAGATCCAGAGAAAGTGGGTGTACCTCGAGCCAATTTTTGGGATGGGCGCCTTGCCGGCGGAGCAGGGACGATTCCGCCGCGTTGAAGAAGAGTTCCGTGACATCATGGCCAAGGTTAGTGTATGCCGTCAGGTTGCATGCCGACATGAATGGTCCCTGACAACTCGTGAGTCGCCTCTTGGAGGCTGGACGAGCGACAATCGGCATTTGCGGCATTTTCTTTTTCATAGACTTCAATTGTCTGAGATAAGGCCCAGGGTCTACCGCCGCATCACACATGCAGCTAGAGGCTCTTCCAACAAACAGCGCCAACCCTGGAAACGCATAGTTCCAGTTTGTCTTTTCAATTTCTGGAAGGATTCTATTCTAGGAACCCACATATATTCTACCAACACCCATCTCCCGCATGCTGTATTTCCACCCCCCACATCTCTTGTCCCCCTCCTCCGGTGTTTGCCATCGGGGTTGGGTTTTCGTCGCTTGAGACGTTGTAAAACAAGCCCCCCCCCCCCCCCCCCCCCCCCCCCCCCCCCC